CAGATATCAGATATTTAGTCATATATAGCACTAAACGAACTAGATGAACAGATATCAGATATTTACTATCATCCTTCTCTGATTCAATAAATTTTAAATAACACACAAGTTCTTTGGAAAAATGTTTATATGTGCAGTCGTTTGAATAGTATGTTTATAGAAAAATTCAAAACGAATAGAACTGTATAAAACGCATATGATAAAAAACGAACTCAACAAAAACTAAATAAAATAACGAAGCATAGATTGATGAAATTGTCATACTGCTTGTTCAAATGAACTTATACCAGTTGTCATACAATTTTTCAGGTGAAATAATATTGTAAAAAAAATCGTGGACTTAGGATAACTGTATCCTCTAAATGAGTTTTTGAATTTTGACATATAGGCAAACATTTGTTCGGCAACTTGTGTATTAATTGAGTTATAGATGTCTTTATGAGATGGATCATCAGGTCTCATAACTGTCTTACACATAAGTCTCTTATGATTTTTCACATGGAAACGATCAATTGTCATGGTTAATGATGTTAAAAATCCTGTAAATTCTGTTGACTTTAAATTATCTGAACTAAAGTGCTTCTCTACGAATAGTTTCAATGTACAAGCACAATCGTAACACATAGCTGTTGGTAGTGGACCATATCGTGATATTGTTAAAATATGATGCAAGACGCGTCTCACTATTATCAATATAAAAGAAAATTTTGTGTTATACTTCATTCTGATCAATATGAAACTTTTATAATTACTTCCTTCAGAACATGGCTGTTCTGTAAACCCAACTATAACTGAACAGTTCAAGAACGTGGCTAAAAAACCATAAGAACTTATTTTTGATTTGTTATTTGTTCCCGATCTGAATACGTTGCACAAAGCATCATCATAACGACCGTCTTTATCAATATATTCAATTAATGCTTGCTTGTCTAAGCTTATTTCTTTATGATCCTGATCTATAACATGCACTGTAGCTGATGATACCATAGATGGTTGATGATGTTGACAAAATCTGTGATCGATATTAGGTGCTATAACAATAGAATGTGATAATGATTAATTAATAATAGAGAAACAGTAATGGTATGCAATCTGTCTGAAAATACGATAAATGTACATTAGCATCACCAGATTTCACTCTACTCGCACAAAATCTCACCCATTTTTCGGTTCTCCTTCGCGTGACCTATGTGCGGTTCGATATTTTCCGATATATATATCTTTCTTTCTCTCTTCCTTTCTCTTACAAATATATATATGTCAGCGTCCAAACTGAGATTACGTCCAATCTCAGATTGGCCTAGGCGAATGTCGGATCCGAGATTGGACGCGTCCAATCTCGGATTCACGCAATTCAGTTCATTAAAATATCAATTACTTTTTAGACAGACCTTGGATTCAAACTTTTTTTTGAAATTATGTTCACACAATGCCAGTTTGTTTGGCACAATTGTCATTTGGCAGATTTGAATAAAATTTTAGGAGTTATGAATAAATTTCTAGAGAACAACAACTTTTGTGAAAAACTTTTATTACATTTTTGAGTCTAAATTTAGCTTCTTCCTAAATGCTTGTAATACTTAAAACGGCATTGTGTGAACATAATTTCAAAAAAAAAGTTTGAATCCAAGGTCTGCCTAAAAAGTAATTGATATTTTAATGAACTGAATTGCGTGAATGCGAGATTGGACGCGTCCAATCTCGGATCCGACATTCGCCTAGGCCAATCTGAGAGTGGACGTAATCTCAGTTTGGACGCTGACATATATATATGTATGTATTGAATGTTTTCAATTACTTCTATTATTATTATTTATACTCCGAAGATATAAATTTACAACCAAACTTATATCCAGAAGAAAATAAAAATACCGTGAGAAAAATAAAATAATACAAAGTAAGACAACATATCGATATCCTAAGAAAAGAGTGATTAACCGACAATTAGTCTTCTCGCCGTCTCTTTTTAATTTTACATTAGACTCTAAAATTGTGTTACAACACTGGATGTTCATTTTATTTAATGCAAAAATTTTACCTCAACTCTTATAGCAGAAAATATTTACAAGTGTACTTCTTCAACAACTATTTCAATCTCCATTGACACATACATGCCAATTTGACAGGTTAGTGAAAGCAAATTTACCTTTTCTTAAAGGAGAATATAAACATCCCATTTGAACCAGTCCAAATTCAGGTATTGTATCATCAAACACATTCTTATATTGGCAGATTAAACGATTTGCTTTTTGGTGGCCATCAACAACAAAGACTCTTGAGCATGTCGTTAGATCACACCTTTTTGTGAATCGTTGATGTTGTGTCCAAAAGCCAACGAAATGTTTATAAAGATCCAGTTTTACTGCCAAAAAGTAATCATTACATTCTTGTGCATCTCGTACAGATATTGGCACAGCTACAACATTTTGCTTTGTTGTCATGAAAGTGAACTTTGCTATATTAATAATTAACCAAGTCATCTGGAAAAGTTTTTCGTCCAAAAGAGTTCTAAAAAGATCAGCGATAAATTTTGAAAAGATGCAATATGAATGACTTATCTTACGTGCCACAATTAATACTTTTTGTATTTGTAAGTTGTTTATCTTCTCTTTCTCTAACTATTGCTATTTTTGAATTATAGGCACTTGTGTATCCATCAAATGACGTAGTATTTTTGACCAGATGGTGGTCAAAATCAAGTAATAAATTTTGATCAAAAATTTGATTTCCATTTAGGTAAATAAATCGATTATTTTTAATTGACTCATTGGTGATAAATTTCATTTTATTTCTTGTGTAAAAATTAGGAAAAATTTCCACATCACAAGCATCACAAAAACAAGTGCCAACAACTATAAAGAAAAAAGAAATTCAATTATTCTTGACTAGCACGGAATTATAACATACGTGCTTTATAATTACGTGTTAATGACAAGACCGTCTTTGAACGATGAGAAAAAACTAATTTTAGTTGTTTCTTACATACTATACATTCATTCGTATATGGTTTCAGATATAGTTCACATGCACCATTGGATTCAGCAACTCTATCGTTTTGATACTTTTGAATCATCTCATGAACTGATTGTTGTTGAAACATATTGTTGTATGTTGGATTGATAGAGATGAATTCAATCATTGATCTTATCACGTGAATTTCATACGACTTCTGATAATGTAAGTTAATTATATTCAGAATATGATCATATCTATTTTGCAGTTCCCTTGGAAAAATATTGTTCAACATCATCATATAAAATATTTCATTTAAACCCATTGAACGTGTCATTAATATTAAAGTATGTTCTGTATCACTAAGTTCCACCGATGTTAGTGATGACGAAGAATTGTTATAATAATTCATTTGGTTCAATATCTGGAAAGACGAATAAAATATGTTTAAAAAAAATCTTATTTTCAAATATTGATTTCTAATACAGCTTCCTTCTTTCGTTTTAATGATAAAAAACTGCTAAAAAATGCATGTAAAAAGGGTAAGTAAAAAACGTTTAAACTTGAACTATATAAAGAAGGTAGAATTCAATAAGAAAATTGTGTTATTTCTGTCAAATTAAACTAGAATCGATGTGAAATCAATTAGTTTCTTCTTAATTTTCTAGTCTGTGTTCGTGTTTGCTGGTGTTCACCATAATTTTCATCAGTTTCGGCTTTTCTTTTTCTACCAACAGGTTGTGATTGAGTATGTACTACTTCTTCCTCATCATGTGACATTTGTTTTTCAATATTTTGTGTATTGTTATTTGTTGTCTTTTTTTCATAATTTTTCAGATGTGAAGATTGTGGAATTGATGTTGATGCTTCACTTTCGACGTTTATCTCATCAACTGTCATAACAAATGGTCGAAATTGTTTCTCATTCCATCGTACGTGTTCTTTATAGAAGAAATTTGATTCCATCTTTTCAATAAACTCGTCTGACAAAGTCCAATTATTAACTGTGAAAACGTTTTCTTGCTGTTGAGGATAAAAGCATTTGAGATAATCTTCATATGTAAGATTAACCTGCAAAATTAAGGTGAATATTATTATCAAATACAGACAGTCTGAAAATGGAAAACATGCGTATTAACCTCTTTTTGTAATAATTGGATGAATTCAAGTTTAGCTGCATCTGTATTGAACAACGGACCACTTCTATTTAAAAAAAAATGCCTACGGTAAATAATCAAGATTTTTACAAAATATTTTACTTGATCCATCCTTCTCTCAGTATACGTTTATCGTTTTTCTTTGGCACTTTTTTTGAACGACTTGGCTCTATCCAATAATTATCTCCATGCGTGAGTAGCTTTGAATTAATTAAGCGTTCTACTGCATCTTGTCTGACACTTGATTTGTTACAAATTTGACTAAAATCAGTTTTTGTAAATATGACAGATTTCCAAGACATTATATTTTTCATAGCTTTTTTCACCGCAAGCTCATGTCTATCTTCACAAATATTTGTTACTAAACACAATAAAAAAAAGAGACGATCTCTCATATAAAAACAAAGGTAAAAGACAAACTTTCTCTAACTGTTGGTTGTACAAGTATATGTGAACTATTATGTTCAACATTATCAATTTGTTCACACGACATTGCTGATAAATTATGAATACTTTCGAAAGAATTATTATGTTCAGGTGGAGATATCTCTAATGTGAACAATAAAACAACGTAATAAAATTGGTATATTAAATATTAGTGCTTACGAGTTATGTTTATATTTTGTTGATTACTCAATACTTCAATGCAATATTGATGCTGTGTCACAGAACTCTCTTCAACGATATCTGGGAACGTGTTAACTTCAGCTGGTGTTGTAGTTTGATTTGGTCCTTTGAATGGTGGTGCATGAAAGATCGTTGTAGTTGGTTGACCTGGATTATTTGTTCTTTCTACACATGTAACCACAACCCAATTTTCAATATCATGGAACTGAACAGTAAATGCATCCTGATTTTGGATAATAAAACACCCAGTATCGGTTTCACGAATAACTGAATTAGCAACATGTTGTTGTATTGTATTGTTCAATACACCTCGATACTTTGCATATTGATTAACTAAACAAGAACTACTTGCAAAGATTCTTAATGCCAATGTGGAAAGATTATGATTCAATGGAATGGAACACTTTTCATATATTGCACAATATTCATCAATATTTATGTCATGTTTTAACATCTTAGCAACAAATTCTTCTCGCGTTGGATCATTCACTGATGGTGGTGGTATTTTCATATAAGCTTTTACGTTATATCCGCGAGCATTGGTCAAAAAGTAATTATATTTCAATAAATTATCTTGCATTAGCTCGTTAATTGCACGTTCTCCCAACGCTGGTCGATTTTTTATTATTCCACTAAACAAAGAAACGTTATAGATTTTAATTAATCACTTCAAATCAAGAATTTTTTGACATACGTTTCGCCAGTGACAGGGTGCTTTACACTTATTGCTGATGTCGGAAAAATGTTAAAGTCGAAGTACATGATCAATTGTTTCAGTGATTTTTGTCGATTTAAAACGGAAGATGGTAATGGCATCGACTTAGTTCGAAAAGTGTAATTAATCGTAAATAATTTGGTAGCAATTCGGAGATAATATTCATACAATTGCCATCCAATTAATACTGCATCTTTGTTGACAATAATCATTGGATCTGTTACTTCTTTATCACTTTCAATGCTCGTCAGGTAAGTTTTATCATACTTATAGTAATCTTTTTTAATAATAGCTTCTACATTTCTTATAAAATTTTCATTAATGAAGGAATTGGAATTGTCACCTTCACTAAAAACGACAAAATCTTTCACCTGCTCAAGTATTTGCATACAGTTTAAAAATAATTGAACTAAGCAAACCAAACGAGGAACCATTGTTCGCGCTTTGGCATAGAAGTCCATGATTTGCTGCTGTTGATCTTCTTTCAAATTCTGAGTATCAACTAAATCAGCAATGAGATTCCAGAGAGTAAACATGGCGGAACTAGGTGGTTGTGTTTGATCTTCATTATTCTGTGATGGTGGTAATTGATCAGATATTACTATGATAATGAAATTAAAACTGAAAAATGTCTTATCAATTTAATGTCTTTCTTACCACCGGAAAATTTCATTCGTTCCACTTCCGACATCTCAAACACATATCTAACCGACCCAAAAAGATGCGAGATCACACATAAATGAGTAAAAGATGGACTTTTTCTCAGATCGTTATTGATTTGAAAACTAAAATTAAAATACCATATATCAATTATGTTTGATCATACCATTGTATCTTTACTGTTGGGGTCGTGAACAGAAAAGCTTAGGTATGCACATATAAAAAAACCTATTATGAGATCCATCAAAACCGGTCAAATTTAACCAATTCTTTATATTTTTCATTAATTTACCACCTGTTGTGGCAATAAGAATAGTTAAACGTTTATCTTCAATTTGAATCATTGTTGTTCCAGTTGTTCTGGATGAGTTAGTAAATCTAACAATAAAAATTATGCAATCAATATATATGATGTCCTTATTCATATTACCCGTCATGTCCAACCAACAGTAAGTTTCTTTCATGCTCCTTAGTAGGATCATTAACATTGTAGAGCCCGTATTGCTCGACGAGAAGATCAGCGTCGTCATTCAACAATATCTTATTATTAGACGACAAATGATGACGTAGCCCAATATGATTGCTGAGTGTTACAATTGATGACATATTTGTTTCCGTTTCTTTACCATTTACAACAACCGGTTTCAAATATGTAAGTGGAAAAAGCTTTTCTGTTTTGCTGATTGCTTTATGCACTTGCTTAAACGCATTAGTTTTACCACTTCCTTCAAAATCAAAGAGTAAGAAAAAAAGCAAAAACAATATACAACAATAAAAAATTCTGTGCAAGATGATCAATTTCAAAATGTCATAGTCATAAATGTAAGTGAACCTGATGTGAGGTGCTTTAGTTATTACGCAATTTACTTTGAAGAAAAACAATTGAGCACTAACATATTGATTATTATATTTCAAGGAGAAACAAATCATCCCTGAATCAATATTTTCATATTTTACACATCAAAATAAAAATCTCAGTAGAAGTTTTCGAAATAAAAAATGAACAATTCACATGAGTCAATACTCAAAATAATAACGACATATCTGCATCGTTATTCATTTATATTTTATTTTCTTCCTTCAGTTATAATCTATTCCTATATCCTGCACTACCAAGTATGTAAGATACTTATATAAACTTGTACACTTTTCTTTTTGAATAAAAGAATAAGTGTTTAAAGAAATCTTCAATAAATTCAATCCGATATTTCCTAGTAATTTTTCTGTCGCATATTATCTAAACATACCGCTAGGTCCCAACAGCCACAAATATAATTGGACAGGGCATGGATCAGAAGAACTGTAATTGGTATAATAAGAACCTTGTGCGAAGTGAGACATCATGCCTAATGATAGGAAGAAAGACAAAGATGTTTCATAGTTATACATATTTTTGTAAGTTTGTAATAATTGCATTTGTTGTGGTTTCAAAATATCGCACATTTCGATGTTCATATCAGCTGCTAATGATATATTTGTTAAAATCATTTCAGAAATTGATTTGTCATCGAAAATAGAAGAGCATTTTGACATATTGAATTTAAAAAATAGGATGAGTACGTGTATATATAATCTTAACATAAAAAAGAAATATTTTTCATTGATAAACGATGCGAACATCGTTATCGTAAGCAGAAAACATTAGAAAAGAATTATTCTCTCTGAATATATTACAACTAGTTGTATTTTATTTACTTAGCTCTTCCAATACTTCATCAACACCTACTTGACTTTGACGTTAAGCGTTAATTTTTCTACTGTTCATAGTTAGAATTAATACAAAATCGTTTTAAATAGAAATAAACACAAAGGGCATATATCATATAGTGAATACTTTTAGAGATCATCATCTATTTTATTATATAAATAAAGAAAATATAAGAAGTGATATCTATTGCAAAACACAGAGATATATTATAATATACCCTTGATCAGCTGATTTTCATATGTTGTTCTCGTGTTTTCTCTGTTCTCTGTCTTCTATATGTCCTCGATCAGATGATATCAGATGATATCTATATATGGTTCACATTTTCTTTCTTTCTTTCCATTTATATGCACTTAATCAACTGATATATATCCTCTGTGGTGTTTTCGTTTTCTTCTCTTTTCACTAAACCCCTCTTCAGATGTTTCTAATTGTTTTCTTCTTCACATCTTTTATAACCAAGAAAAGAAGATATATCATCAATACGCCGAAATACGATTCGAAGAACATTAAAACTTTTTAATTTTTGAAGATCTAAATTTACATTAACAAATGCTGATTCGATTCGTTGTTCTATTTCTTTTTTCATTTTATATATGAATACCAACACAAATTCACATGAAGATGATCCAACGTGATCGTTCAGTCACCCATACTGTTTTTGAATCGATCCGATTTAATCGCATTCATATTTAAATAAAAGACAAAACATCATATGTTTGTATGCACATCTTCGGAGATATACGATTAAATTATTTTCATTGTAATCTGTCTTTAATCAATTATACTTTAAATACATGCGATGGATGCCTGATGAACCGATCACATAAATCACAAAGTGAAGTCTTTCAATTATATATACCTGCATGCAATTGAAATTTCCTTTAATTCTCTTTGTAATTTGTAGCTGTAATTCATTATTGAAAACTAAAATACATACAACTATCACAACGACTCAGCGACATAAGTAACATCAGTATTCATCAAAACTTTTTCTTTGCGATGAAATCAGTGCATCTTCAGATCAACATTTTTACTAACAGTCACTGGATGTTAAACTTTAATAAAAATCTCATGGGTTTTCAACTACATAGATTACAGATAAATGCATTACGTATCGAAACAAGTTCTATACAATATAGCAGATAAAATTCAAATGCTATCAGCCATACAACCATCATTGATAGTACTTTGCTCAATTTTCATACATATAGATAGATAAATGAATTGATTTACATTGTTATGTATTGAAACTGAAAACTTTCATATAAAAGTAAATATCTGATATCTGGTTATCTGCTGAAGTTTTATACATATAGATAGATAAATGAATTGATTTACATTGTTATGTATTGAAACTGAAAACTTTCAAATAAAAGTAAATATCTGATATCTGGTTATCTGCTGAATTTTTATACATATAGATAGATAAATGAATTGATTTACATTGTTATGTATTGAAACTGAAAACTTTCATATAAAAGTAAATATCTGATATCTGGTTATCTGCTGAATTTTTATACATATAGATAGATAAATGGGTTGATTTACTTTAGGATGCATTGAAATTGAAAACTTTCATATAAAAGTAAATATCTGATATCTGGTTATCTGCTGAATTTTCATACATATAGATAGATAAATGAGTTGAATTACATTGTTATGTATTGAAACTGAAAACTTTCATACAACATTAAACATCTGATCTATGAGGTAAGATCATAGTTTTCGGCTTATCAAAAACTGAATAACTTATTTTTACAATTATATCACACACTAAGGGATTCAACCAAAACTGGTAACAGTTTGAGATTTGCCACGCCCTCATCATAACAATTAAATATATCATAATAAGTAGATATATCATAATAATTAATTAAATATATCATAATCATAATAAATCATAACCAGAGTATTTCAAATCCAATACATCGATAACAGGTAAATCATAACGAATACATCATAATCAATAATGAATAATAAATAATAGACATATATTAGTACATATTCTCGTTGTATTTTATTGAAATAAAATATTTCATATACTTCGTCTTTTACTGCATTAACTAATTTTCATTTGATTATATGAAAAAGATCTCATTGTCTTCTCAAGTTAACTCTTTAACATTCTATGACTTATTTCAATTGCAGTTAAAATAACTTGAGTTTCATAATTCTTTTTATTTTATTTTATTTATTATTCATTATTGATTATGATTTATTCGTTATGATTTACCTGTTATCGATGTATTGGATTTACAATACTCTGGTTGTGATTGATTATGATTATGATATATTTAATTAATTATTATGATATATCTACTTATTATGATGTATTTATTTAATTATTATGATATATTTGCTTATCTTACAATGTTTTAGGTTAATCATGATTGAAATTAACTTCAAAATGAGTACTGATGATGATCTACCTGCCAGCTTGTGTCCAACTGAATACAGATCGAAAATTCTACATATTACATATACATACACATACACATATATTAATACATATTTTTGTTGTATTTTATTGAAATAAAATATTTCACATACTTCGTCTTTTACTGCATTAACTGATTTTCAGTACTCAAAATGTCAAGCGAAAACTCACCTGATTGGACAATTGTTGACCAATCAAATTTTCCAAAACATTATATGAAAAAATTCATAATCTTTCTAATAATGAACATTTCAGATCTCTAGCTACTTCCTATCCAGAGTTATTCAACTTACAACCGAGTGCATTGGTCATTGAAATCGATAGTAGTAGCATCCATTTACTCATTTGCTGGGTGTGTGGGTGGACGTGGATGTTGATGCGAGTAGAGATGTTGTGCTCATTAGCATACACACCCAGACCCACAATAGGCGTGTCTGCTGCTCCGTTCCTTGGGAACAGAACCCTTTTGAAAAATTTGTTTCTATGCCTTTTTGAGCACAATGGATTGTATACACTTTATCCTACTGTCATTCTTGTAAAAATTTGACATGGATCCAGAGTTTCATGGAACGAGAACCCTATGGGAGGGTGTTCCGACTTCCCAAGAATGGAATCCACTTAGGGTTTCGGGTTTTCAAGAACGGAACAAGAAATTGACACCCCTAATCTACACCCTCAAGAAAAATAATCCTCAGAAGAACAATTCTTCTTATTTTTGTTTATTAAAAATCAACATTCTTTATTAATTAAGAATATTGTTATATAAGTAGTATATTGAAAGAAAAGTTTCTTGTATGTTTTTGATGTTGTGCCGGTCGAATTTTGTCATAATTCATGTAATCAAATGTCGATGTAAGCTTTGTACGTAATGCTTGAAAAAAATGTTTATAGAGATCAACGTCAATGAATTTGTGCAAGCGATAAATCACATCAATCATGCAAGTATTCTAATTCATTATCAGGGTGTGGGTGTGGGATTAGTAGAAGCGAATAACCACACGCACACTGCATGCTGACGCCCACATCTCGCAGCCACACACACCCTGAACAGTCGACTCTTTCTCTTTTGATACATAAGATGAATTTCAATGACATTATAGGGCTTCAATTTGATGAGAGAACACAATATGTTCATTGTATTTCAGTAACGATATGGTGTTTGGTAGGTTTCAGATGCAGTGTCCTGGATATTTGAT